GTGCAGTTACTGAGTAGGCGATCCCTAACCAAGGTCTTTTTCGGTCTGGGATTCTATGATTTTCTGACTGCCACAACCTCCACGAGTCAATTTTAGCAAATCAAAAGAATCTGATAATTATGTATTCCATTACATCCTTCGGACAATTTTAAAAAGGAATCTTACCACTCATCTTTACTGCAAGGGCATGCTGGCCATGGGGTGGGTACCTGGTAGGTAGCGAGTGAGTGGGAGAGCATGTTGCAGCGACTGGCTCCAAGGAGATCCACTTTCTGACAGACATCCATCTTCAACTTGTCAAAAGAAGCTTTGCTGCTTCTCACTTGGATCTGGACCTGAAACCACAAAAATGTTCACTCTGATTACTGATCACGCAGATTATAAATGTTCCATGAAGTTTCATGGTACATATTTTCAGACACATGGAATTATAATAAAGAAAACGAATTCATTTCCCCCATATTATTATTTCGTGATTAGTGGTCAAGGTTTTGGCTATTTTTAGTAATTATATGAGATTCTTTCCAGACGTCTTTATGCTGAGAAAGTATGCAATGATAGATGGAAAGTATATAGTTAAGAAGAAAAAACAGATTCCAAATAAAAAGTAACATCTAAAATTAATGATGGGTAATATTCAGGTAAGAGTAGAAGAATAAATGGAAAGGGGACATAAAGTATTGAGAAGCATTAATAGTAGTGCTAAATCATGAAGATATATTTATACATTTAAATACATTCCTATTTTTTTCTATACATAAGTTGAGTCATATGTCACCAAGTAGTGTGAATACTCAACTTTTAAATATACGCACTCATTCAACAAATATGTATAAGGCAGCTATTCAGTGCCATGCTCTGGGCTGGCACTGGGATATTGTGGTGAACAAAACAGAGTTCATCCTCACCATCCCGAGTGTGAAGCACAGGAAAAAAAGAATAAATAGTGACGATAATCTCAAACTGTGAAGATAACAGATAAATGCACAGAAATGGTGATTACTTTTTAAAAATATTTTTTTTTTATTGATTTCAGAGAGGAAGGGAGAGGGGGAGAGAGAGAGAGGAGAGAGAGAATCATTGATTGGCTGTCTCCTGCACGCCCCCCACTGGGGATCAAGCCTGCAACCTGGGCATGTGCCCTTGACTGGAATCAAACCCGGGATCCTTCAGTCCACAGGCTGACGATCTATCCAGTGAGCCACAGCAGCCAGGGCTGGGTGACTACTTTTGATAAGGTAACCAGGGAAGCCCTTGGTGGGCTTGTGCATGATGTCTGAACTGGGACACAAAGGTGGTGAGCGGGCCATGCCAAAACCCGGAGGAGGGCATTCCAGGCCCAGGGACAAGAGTCCTGGGTGTGGGAGGTGGGTGAGGAGCTTATGTTTGCCGAACAGGAAGGAACAGAGTAGAACATACTCCTTGCTGGAGCATAAAAAGTAAGTTCAAGATGTGGCTGCAGAGGGTCCAAGGATCAGACTGTGCAGGGCTACTGGGGTCCAGATAAGAGGTTTGGATTGTACTCTTTTGTATGTTTATTTATTTAAATTGAGGTGAAAGTCACATAACATAACACCTAACCATTTAAAAATTTACAGTTAACTAACATTAATGCATCCACATGTTGTGCCACCCCTGCCTTGGACTGTATTCTAATTGTCAAGTATTATAAAGGAAACAGAATTACAGGTTGCCATGGCCTGAGGCCATGTGCCCACCTACTTCCCAGATCTGTTGGGAGTAAGCAGTGAGGCAAACCACTTGTAACTGCTGGTCTAGAATCAAGGCTTCAGCAATAGTGAATATGATTTTTACTATAGGTACTCCAAATATTTATGAAATGAGTGAATGAATTTTATTAATTGTGTATGGTAAATTTAGGCGATGCAATTTATAATAACGAGTGTATTCAGAAAAACATGTGTCTATACATAGGTAGTTGCTTTAAAAGTTTGTGGTCAAACTACGTATTGTGGCAGAATGAAAAATGTGATCACCTTTCTTATAAATCATAATCATTTTACCTGAATTTTTAGGTATATATTTTTCCTCATTAATAAACTATTTCCCTCCTGCAAAAACAAAAACAAAAAAAAACAAGCCCCAAAGTCCAGGTAAGCAATGTTTAAAGGGTGGTTAGATCTATTATGAGGGAGATAAAGAAATTAATAGACAAGATCCAAGGGTGGGGGATGCCACTCAAAGGGTAAAACAAAAAGTGTGGCAACCATCAAGAGGTCCTGGGTTCATATCCAGGTGACCTCTCCAAAAAAAATGAAAAAAAAAAAGTGTGGCAACCTTTTGTACTTTGATCGAAGATCTCCAAGCAACCAGGAATTTATAACATACCATTTTGTCAAAAGCAGTCTGATCTTATGAAGTCATTCGGTAGGAGTTAAACAGGTTTGTGCCCCCGGAAAAGAAGGGTGTGTTTTCATACTTTTCTGAACTTTTCCATTTGCTTTAAGGTGTCTGGGTCCAGCTCCTGGGACACGTCCTTCATCCACAGCAGAGCCCCTCTGTACTCCGTGCGTGCCTGCTCCATGCGATTAATTGTCGTCAAGGTATCGGATACCGCCCTTTGACTGAATGTTGCTACTTCTTGCTTAAGACGAGACAGCGGAGTATACAGCAAATTTAGGGAAAACCTGGGTGTGGAAAGCAGATAAATACTAGAAGAACTAACGAGGACCGGGTTCTTAGCAGCTGAGGGTGAGGACGAAGAAACAAGGACTTAAGAAGCATCATTGCAACCCGGCTCCTCTGGTCTGCCTTTGACATTAGCTAAAGCGTCGCACTGTATTGAGTGTCTCTTTGTCACATCCTTAAGGATGAACCTGGGCACTGATGTGGTGTCTCAGAATAAAACCGCTTAAGTTACATATGGCCATTGCAGGTCTGAGGAGGCCTGATTTTATTTTCTTTGGAAAGTGCAAAGATTTTGGCTGTCTTTAGTAATTGTTGGAGATTCTTTGCAGCACCTATTTTTAAGATTAAAAAAAAAAACTGCAAGATGATAAATGCAAAGTATATAATTAAGA